ATCCTAACTAACCCTAAAAAAAACCAAAAAATTTGTAAATTTTTGGTTCTATGTCAAAATCCCGACAAGAGTCCCAATTGGGTCAAAATTCCGAAAAAATTCAACTAACTATGGCTAACTTTGTCAGGACTTTGACTCTGTCGAGATTCTTGTTGTCGGAATATTGACATAAAACCTAGAATTTCATATCAAAACAGGCCCAAATTTCAGCATAAGCATCAGCCGTGACAATAAATAAATATATAGTTACCACGGCCGTCTTCTGATAATATTTTAGCTTTCATATTTGGAAAAAGAATACCACTAGAACCTATTGAAAATAGTTTCTTTAGTAAACCACTAAATATACTCTTTATTATACAGTAAGCACCCCATCATTTAATGATATAATACCTGGAACTGCATTCTTCGTTGTATCAGAATGAAATATAATAGACGTTTCGGCAAGGCCTTTATTATGTTACAAAATAATAGAGAGTAATTCACCATAATGATAGGAAGAAAAAAAAATAAATGTTCATGATAAGACCTTTCAGAATGAGTATTCCGGTTCAAACGATCTAACAATAAAACTTACCATAAACTTGAAAAATTGGTATTTTAAACATTTCATAAAATTTTCTTTTCAATTTATCACTTAACGGAGCTGTAGCGCTGATAATCATATCAACACTTGATAAATCAAATTGTTGAACCAATGGATCATTGACAAGTTTAAGTATAGTTGGCGGAACAGCATAAATATAGTTAATTTTAAATTTTTGAATTGATTCGCCAAACGTTTTTACATTGAAGCTTGAATGAATGATTGCTGTAGCACCCTATATTATTAACGCATAACTCTTAAATTGGCAATGCAATAGTGAAATAGTATCAAATATAGAATGACACAAACATGAATTAAGGCCCCATGAAGAATAACTTTCAAAGCATAACCGTGGCAAAATTGCTATATTTTTAGGGCAATAATGAAAAATGTTGATTTAAAACCTGAAAACACCTTAAAAGAATTTTTTTTATATTACTTACTGTGGTTCCCATAATTATACTGTGTGGTCCAAGTTTACAACCTGCAATAATTAATTGAGCCAAATGAACATTTATGTTTGTATGAGTAAGTTCGATACATTTTTGCTTTCCGGTTGTTCCAGAACTGTAACACAAATAAGCAGTCGTTGATTTTGCTTCTTCAGGAGTATAATAAATCGGTTCAATTTCACGATCACCGATTAAAATAGAGCGATAAGGTTTATATCCTTTTATTTCTTTATCACCAAACAACATTACCCTGGAGGTGGGAATTTTTGCATCAATTGAAGCCTCAATAGCGATTTCAAGAAGTTCTGGATGCACGATCAAAACTGATGCACCTGAATCGATTAGCTGATAAGATAATTCAGTTACTATATATTTTGGATTAGTTGTCGTTACTTTGCCTCCTATAAATTCATAAATAATTTAGAATTGAAAGAAATAATATAACATTATGATTTATATGAAAAATTATATAATACCAGCTGCGATCGTTCCCAAGAGTACTATAGGATGATCAACCTTAACAAATTAATTATATCATTAAAAATGAATGAATTAATAACTTAATAAAAAGGTTAATAAATACCTGATTAGGTGAAAATATTGCTAAAACATCTCCACGTTTAAATCCTAACTTATCTTGCAATCCTGCAGCAAATTTTTTCGATTCATGTTTAAATTCGCCAAAAGTGTAACTTCTACCAGTAATCCCGTCCACGTAAATATCCTTATCGTCTGGAATTTTGTTTGGATTACTAGTCACATATTGATAAATTCCAACTTGAGGAATTGTTATATCTGGGTATTTAGATTTAAAGATCATTTTATAATTATTGTTATATAGTTGGAATAACGATAAGTCAAAATTCATGCCATTTATATATACCCGGTTGGGTGAAAAGTATTTAAACAGGACCCTGTTTTTTTTTAATCACTAAGAACATCATTCTGACATTTATAATTTAAATGGATTCGGAATTTCCTAGCTAAATTAGGG